CCACGTCCATTGTAGTTGTCATAATAGTAGCCCCTAATTCCCAGCTCCCCGGACACAGAACACAGGAGCAGGGTGGTCAAGGCGAGGACAGCGAGCAGCTTCTGGAAACTAGCCATCGTGGTGGGGATCCCTAAGATGGAGGTGTCTGGATTCTCTCTCCCGTTTTTATAGACTTGGCCAGCACCGCTAATCTCGATGGTCCGCCGTCCTCACGGCAACAGTCTGGCGCAGAAAAAACATTTGTCATTTTTTGATGGGATGTAAGCGATATTTAATGGTAGGTTGTGTTTTAGATCGTTTCAGAAGTGCTTCATTACTTGTGTCACGAAAAGAATAATGATTATTCCAGAGAACTGGTATTGTGCGTGGATGTTCTGAGAATCACCATTATTGAAGAGAGAGATTAAGAATTAAGTAATGGTATCATCTGAGAAAGGGCAAAATAACTCTGTTGTGGATAGGACAAATGTGTCTATTTACAAGAAAACCATTACAAATGATCAGATCCAAAAACATTATAATTAAAGATAATAAGTGCTGTCCAATGGGGATCATCTGCTTTTGCCTTAATCGAGGCCATCTGTACTACATGACGTCATACGAGACAGGGGCGTAAGGGGAGTGCAGCTTCTGGACGACAGAGGTTGAAACTCAGATAGGTAAATGCCAGTCTAACAGGAATGGAAGTCCGCTAGAAACCGTAGTCTGCTTCCTATCACTTAGTACATGTGACATTCGTCCTATATACTAACCTCAATTCTCCAACTAACCCTAAACTGTACTAATCATAAGGCAGCCGCCCAGACTTCCATTCCTGTAACACCGGAATGTCTTGAAATACAATACAAAAGTCTGCCAGTATACTGTATGTACGAGGTGACGCCCAAAACATGGTGAAATAGCACTATTTTGAAGTCAATAGTAATTCAACAGAAACTACGAGAACACAAACAAAATGCGGAAACATTCGTTGTGCTTTGTAGTCTTATGAGATTCATTTTTTTCCATCCAAAAGAAAACGAAGTTAAAGATGTTTAACTACCTGTATGTGCAGAAATTTTCAACTGCTCTTTGCTAACATAATTTTTTGCGTTTTCATGTCCACTGAAATAAATACAAAATCCTTTACAGTGTCCAATGTTAAAAAACATGCTGTCAGTTTTGATAAAATGATTCGTCTAGAGATTTCTAAATATTGAAATAAGTCAAAGGTTAATGAGACTAATGAGACTTCGGGAATGTGAGTGGCCTTTAAACAACTGGGGCTCGGATGTAAAGAGAAAACTTCCCAAAAATTAAAGACATGGATAAATTGTCGCTTTCATCGTTTTGGTATCTGAATCACGGCACGTCTCAAAATAATTACAAAGCCGCAGACATAAAGAGCTAACAATTCAATGTCAGAGGTCGTCGTCAAGAAAAGTGTTAAGAGGTGTTTGATTATTGGTCATATTTCCACCAACTGTCGTACGATGAATGGAATGTTTGTACTGAGAATAATGATGACAATGTGACTCGAACCTCTCAGTCCTGTTGTGTGTATCTGATGGAGTAAATGTTACCTAATTGAAAAGTATCAGTTAATGAATCACCCCATGGGTGTCACTAACACGCTCCGTAGGGAGGTTATCGGAACGGCCATCTGGCAACTAAGAAGTCAAGTAACCGCAGGTGCTGTGATAACACGTAATGTGTGGATGTGGCTGTCTCTCACGGTGCTGGGGACAAAAAGGTTGTTTCAGTTTACGTGTGCAGAAATAGTATCCGGGGGAAAAAAACTGATGTAGACTGTCTTCATTTCGTCAGTGAGATGAGAGATTTGGAACTTAAACTGGGTAACAATAAATTGATTCATGTAAAATGGTGCATTCAACTGTCTTAGTTGATATCTCATCTGAGTAATTATAGCGTAGGGCAGTTTTTGGCGTATTTCTCTAACCGCCGAGTGAGACGAGTGTTGAATATTTCGTGCCTGATCAGAAAGGCGCTCCACTATCTACGGCGTTGATTTCTGAGCATAAAATTTTCACTTGGTGTCACAGTACAGAAACGTGCAAGAATATCTAAAGGAACATCAATCTGTGACCTTGTAGGGGGCAGGAGGGCCCACTTTCGGTCAAAACGTGCTGCCTACAAGGTCATGCATTCCCAAAATTTTAATATCGCATGTCCTATATACTTAACCCACAAAATATATATTGATGATTAGATTTAAAGGTATAATAGATTTATAAGTATACTTAGCTTTGCTTTATTTCATGTGTGTGACATCTTATTTTCATATTTTTCGATGTTTTGATTTTTCCGATATGTAGTTTATATTCATATATTCATGAAGTAACAAAAACAATCAAAACAGCTGTCGTGTTTTTATTCTTTTATATATATTTTTTATTTTACATAATTATTAAAATTGCTGGCGTTTACGCAGCCTTTAAGGATATTTCTTTTTTCCACACATATGATGTAGGGGCCAGATTTTTCAGAAATCTTTTTTATTATATTATACGGCCCAAGCCAAGGTATTTCCTCCCCCCCTTTCTGTCCTTTCCGTCTCTTTTAAGGTCCTTGGTGCTTGCAGGTATTACTGAATAAAAATGGATTTAAAAATAAATAATAAAAAAGGCAATTCTTACTAAATAAGTACATTGAAAGGGATAGATTGTATAAATGTAAGTTCATAATTTGAATAAATTTTATTATTTCTCACAGTGAAAGAAGAAGTAATTCTATTACATATATATACTGACAGTCAATGAAAACGCATCATTTATTTATCAAATAATATTTTTGTTCCTTTGGTACATTAAGAAAATAACAGTTTTCGTGTGAAATATGACCCATTATTCAGTTACACAATGTGAAATAAAGGCCAGAAAGTATCATTAAAATGCAAGGTCACGTAATCAAATCCCTTTGGTTCCGCCCATCCTCCAGCATCCCCAGGGTCCGCAGTCACTCTTTCAGTGTCAGACGTGACATCACTGAACTTTTTTGTCATGTGTCACACTGGATTTGGTGACTACCTTAAATAAGCTTAATTAATCACCATATATTGAACTTGATTAATTCACACCAATCACGAAACAGGAAAAACACAGTAACAGCTGGTCACAAAATCACTGAAGCGGAAATTTTAAACATCCGAGTGGTCAGCCCACTCTCTTATGACCAAACAAGTGCATTTGTACTCGTACTCGTTTAAATGGTTGGAATCGATTCTCGGTAAAAATACAAGAAAGTTTTCTGATGCCTTTTCATTGGTTGTCAGTATACATATTACGTATTTAATGTTTTTTCTTATGGGCATGCATCTTTTGTGTTTTACGACACACGTCACAATTCTTCTTTTGTCCTTTTTGCACATTTTCAATTTTTCTTTTTAAGTTTCATTTCCAACCGATTCTCTCAACCCGATTACCCTGTCACTAATTTCCCCTTGACATTCTTGTTCTGTAGGTTCGTTATCTTAATCTTCCTCATTTATATCTTTTGAAAGATAAAAGTATTATACCGATAACAAGATGTCTGTGTGTGTCTGTAAGTGTGTGTGCGTGCGTGCGTGCGTGCGTGCGTGCTTATGTTTGCGATCTTCAAACCTAAATGCACCCTTTACGCTGGTAGATCAAACGAAAAAACAAGTGTAAGACTGAGCCGTTGCATGGGATCGAACATAGATCGAACATAGAACTAGACCAGTATCTTCCCATACTAACCTTTCTGACTTGCAAGCTACACTACCACAAGAGACTGATCAAATTTGGTTTTTCCATCATATTTATAGCTCACTATGCAATGAATTGTATACTTGTAACATTTCAACATGTTATTGCATAATGCTAGGACTTCAAAATAGACGGCGTAGATTACTGTCATAGGTTGAGCAGGATTAAAAGTCTGGGAATGATGTAAGTCCTACCTATAATATCAGTAAAAATTATAATAGTGAGCCAGGAACCAAGGTCCTACTAGAACTACTGTTCCTAGGTAATAAAGTATGGTCCGTAGGACTTGGTTAACTGTTCCGCCATTTCTACTGATATTTGCTCCTTTAATTAAACATGAAAGCCAACGGTACTTACATAGCATGTTTTAATTATTATGATATTTTGACAGAAATATTGTCGGTAGAAATGTAAAGCAGCTACTTAAAACAAAATACTGAGCATTTCCCACATTTAATCAGTATTATATATCTTAGCATTTGTACCAGCGAACCATTTAGATTTATCCTTGATTACTATGGCTAAACCACAGACGATATCATGTTTTTGATCACACGAGCATCTGGCCCTGCGTTTATATTTGACTCAGATCGATATGTTCTTAGTGACAACTAAAGTGTGTTAGTTGAGCTTCTTTATTGCAGTTGTTGTGCAGCATTTCTTCAGTCTCACGCAATGACCTCTGTCGCAATCAGGATTCTTCTACAGGTGAGAATTATTATATCATCAGTGTCGAAACGTCATAGACAACGTTGAAATAACCAATTATAACAGATTTGACAAGATACGTTATAATAAGCACGAGGCCTATCTTATATAATCTATAAAGAGATCTTTATAATAACGTATCTATTAATTTTAAAACAGAAACAGAAATACTTTTATAGCTTTTTTAAAAAGCTTTAAACTTCAGATGAATGATCTTATATCAAAACAAAACAAAACACCTTTGTCAGAATTAACCTCATTATAAGAATAAGATAAAAAAAAAACATAATACGAAATAAAATATTCCGACCTTGTACAGCAAAGGAATGAAAAAAAAAAAAAAACATCAGCACGACCAGAAAACAAAAGAATACATATCACATAAACGTTTATTGTTACCCAGTCCCAAAACTGCAAACAAAATGTGTTTATAATCTTGTCGAATGAAGCAAATGGCTCTTACTGCACTATACATATGTAGCATTTGAGAAATAGGCGCTAATGACCATAGCATCTGAATAATCGTTGTGAAGCAGAACGCGCAACTCGAAAATCAAACCACAAAATAATAATAAATATAATTATAGTTCAATGAACTGGTATATAAGACACTGAAAAAATGAAAAGTGTGAGCAAAAAGCGAAAACAGATCACGGCATTTTAATGGAAGTCTTATTTTCATGACAACAACAATTTTTGGTGTGCCTCCATGCAAGCAGCATTATTTATCTATATGTATAATTGATACCCGGTAAGTGTATACATGTACTAATGAAACGGGCCCTCTCTCGGTATTCAGTTCAAATATGAACTAGCGTCCGGGTAGGTTCTACTGGTTCTACTGGTGGAGCTTTTATAGAGAGTGGATGATGCATCACAGATTAGTTAAAGCTTGAACGCGTCTTTGGTCCCTTGTGGTCAAACTGCAATGAAAACATTGTCTTTGTTACAATAGTACACATTGTGCTCTGAAAATTGAAGTTGATTCACATAGTCTTACTTAGTATAAAGGTGACGCAATATGGAGAGGATAGGTAATAAAGTTATTTTAAACAAAACAAACAGAAACGACCGTAAGGATTGATGTTCAGTATTATTATATCAGTCATAAAGGAATGACAAAAAATAAACGACAGTGACCAATAGTCAAATAAATGTGGAATTTAAAAAATATGTCTTCAGTAATGTCTACGGTACCTTAGATCTAATAGCGTGTGTTTCGTAAGCTATTGGGTCCATATGTTGGTAGCCCGTATCCGGTTCCATACCCGCCGTAAGGGTTACTAAACTGTTGAACGCCGTATGGGTTAGCATTTAGCGGTTGGGCCCCGTAAGGACTGCTGTACTGCTGTGAACCATATGGATTGCCATACTGCTGCTGGGCACCGTAAGGGTTACCGTACTGCTGTTGGGTCCCGTAAGGGCTACTGTACTGCTGTTGGGGTCCATATGGGTTGCCATACTGCTGCTGGGCTCCGTATGGGTTGCCATACTGCTGCTGGGCTCCGTAAGGATTGCCATACTGCTGCTGGGCTCCGTAAGGATTGCCATACTGTTGTGGGGCTCCGTAAGGATTTCCGTACTGCTGTTGGGCCCCGTATGGGTTACCGTACTGTTGTTGGGCTCCGTATGGGTTGCCGTACTGTTGTTGAGCTCCGTATGGGTTGCCGTATTGTTGTTGGGCCCCGTAAGGGTTACCGTATTGCTGTTGACCCCCATAAGGGTTACCGTACTGTCCTTGGCTCCCGTAAGTTGGCTGTCGACCGGCTGAGGGCGAGGTAACTTGGGCAGGGGCGTTTGCTCCGTACTGGCCGCCAGCGCCACGAGGGATGTTACCAAAACTTCCTGGAACCAGAATTTTACATCAGTTACATCTCATGTACATTGGCACGAATCGCACATAGTTATCAAATACGACGAAAACACTAATAAAAGCATTTCATTAACGAAATAAAACTAACATCAGTGTAGTGATTTCATTTCAAAAAGTGACACAAAAGCAGCGTACTTTCTCGTGTTCACAAAATATGGTCGCATCGTTTGTAAGTATGAAAATGTAAGGGCATAAATATATGCTGTAAGGGACTGTATATCGTTTGTGATCTGTATTCTAGGTACATGTGGCCATTCAAGCAAAGGCCAAATTATGCAAAACTGGTCCTTAAACCACGTAAAGTGAATTTTTACTTTGGCACCGGACTGGGCAAGTAGTAAAACCTATTAACAAACGGACGGGAACATAATCTACAGGTGCAAAAACACACACGCACACGCACACACACATGCACACACAATCACACGCACACGAACACAGACACCTATTTTACCTTGATATACACTGTTCACACCGCCCTGTGACGACAAATATCCCTGCGAGTCATAATCATGCTGATTACGGGGCAGGTATGGATAGTTAGCCTATAAAATAAAGAATTATAACAGAATAGCTCAAACATTTATAAGAAAATAAATGAGTCTATTTGTCTTCTGTGTATTTTTTATCTTCTTAATGAATGAGTGTAGACCCTGGCTGCTATAATGGCCAGCGTTCTCCACTTTCTTTTAGACTAGAATCGTCTAAAACGTTCTATGATAAAGCGGCTACGTGCGAAAGCTGTTTTTTATTCTAATTTCCGTGATAAAAATTTAACAAAGTCCATTACAGGTTGCCGTAACCATGATATATTTTTCAAATTTCTTATTATTGCCGACTAAAAAATTAATTTGATTTTTACGTTTAACCGATTGAATTGCCAAGCTGCTATTTAGCGACTAGTTGGGATGAAAATTAGTAGACAAACTGATAATTTCAACAAATAAAGTTCAATGACATCACAAAGTAACCAATGTACAAAGTAAATGATATTGTAGAGACAAATAGCCGGGTAAACTGGGTCGCGGACCAACTAACTTCCCTCACAGTGTCTGCCTACGCATCATGTCTGCGTATAGACGACGACCTACCTCTCCAATGTACCCGTGTGTGGACTGCAGTAGTGCAAGGACAGCCACCACTACAGAGGTCACTCCCAGACAGCCGTGGCTCTTCATCTTGTTCCAGGAGCTGTTTCTTGCCTCAGCCTGTCCCGTCAAATGTGACGATCCCGTGGCCAACAATGACGGATTTAATGTTGGGGGACGTGGAAAAGAACGCGCGCACCTTGGCCAGTAATCATATTCACGTTTTCGTTTAAAAAGTTCCTGGTTACTTAACTAGGAATTAGGACATGATCCCCCCCAGGACTGTCATTACCTCGATAGCAACTGCCCCAGTGGGGAATACATTAACATTTAATTCGAGCTCCGCAGAAAGAAGGGTTAAGATAACGGGTTTATTAGCATAGATTTGTCACGCATCCATTAAAATATAGACTTTTAAAATTGTTGCCACTTGAGATACAGTAATTTCCATGTCTACTTACTACCATTTTTGTGCGTGCACAACTTTACCATTAGCTTTTCATTAATCCATGACGGCAAAAGTTAACGTAAGGACAAAATGTACCGCATAATTAAGAAGATATTATCAGCAATCTCGTATGTAAATAGTTTTCTTTCCTATCAGTAATAGAAGGCTGGGTATGATATCTTAACGACTTGAAAATGCATCTTTCTATCAAACGAAATGTTGTGTACGTGGCTGATGCGACACGTTGTTCAGTGTTTCATTGTACATGTAGTTCTAAGCACAATGATGCAGTGGGCAGCAGCGTTTTTAAATACGCATTCAAATCACTGAAATACGTCTAGTTCAAATACAATTATAAATGCAACTCTTTTAATTTATGACTGAACACCCTGAGAACATTTCAAGTTAAAAGTTATTATTTTTTCAATGAATTAAGCAGTCATTTTTTTTATTCAATCAACAACTAGAATTGAAATTATTAACTCGTACGGCCAATATTTCGATATTAATTTAGAGCATCTCCATCATGAAAGTGCCCAGGTGAATAGCTTCCATCCAGGAGAAATACGCTAGTCTGATATCACGCCCACTTCTCACTGCTTTCGATTTAATATACCCCCCCCCCCACTCTCTCTTGACTATTGTCAATATGCGCTGTTAAAAACGTTTGAAGAAAATATGCCAAGGTTTGGTCCTGACATTACTTGTAAGTTGTACAAGAAAGACAACACTTTAAAAGTCAGTCTCTCTCTCTCTCTCTCTCTCTCTCTCTCTCTCTCTCTCTCTCTCTCTGTGTGTGTGTGTGTGTGTGTGTGTGTGTGTGTGTGTGTGTGTGTGTGTGTGTGTGAGAGAGAGAGTGAGAATGAATAACATAATTCCACAGAAGTCTTTGCCTGGACTGGGGAAAAACATTGCACATGTTTCAGATCCGATATTCCTACGAAAGTGGAAAGGGAAAACGCGACTTTTTGCTATACTGTGTTAATGAATGCTTTGAAGGCCACGTGAATTGTTACAACAGCTTGTTAAATCAAACCGTTGAGATGCCAGAGGTGATATCATGTCCCGGTCCTAAGCGAGCCCCCTGTACATGTTCTTTCGTTTGAAAGGTAAAGTCCATGAAATTAATGCCTTTGGAGTAGATAATCTAATTGTGAAATCATCCGACTGTGGGTCTTTTGCAATAGTGAACCTCAAAGACTTGTTTATAGGGCCAATATAGATTAGCTATATGTAAAAGTCAATGATCCGCTACTTTTACTACGTACGGTTTATACACATTGCTGGAATCTTAGGATGTGTTCACAATGAAACTTTTACTACTTCCGTAGGTGGTTCGAACAAACTTCGCAGGGACTCTCGCTGAATGCAATCAGATTAAAAGATTAACGAGGACATTTTGTCCGGTTGGGTAGGGCGTGACCTTCGTGAGGTAATACAACCATTGGAGTTACTTAGATAAAACGATTTTTGGTCGCGTACCTTAGTGTAGCGTGGTAGAATTGACAAGCGTATATAATTATCACCGTTACATTTGTGATAAGTGGATGTTATTTTTATTACCAAGACCAGCAACTTCGCTGTATAGGATAGTCAGTATAAAATGTGTACGATTTCGAAACTTTTAAAGGTCATTACGGAACTTTGGAAAAATTGCGTTTTAGTACAGATAATGCATCTTTTGGATTAAATTAACCACGATAAGTTTTACGACAGCGACTTAACATTGGTACTGATCATATTGATGTTAATGCTGTTTTTTTATTTCAGGATTTTTTTGAGCGTGGCAAAAGCACTGAAGCATATTACAGCGCAAACTTCGCGAGCATTTGTTTGAAACTACGATGGAGATCAAAAGTAGAAAAAGCGAATTATGATCGGACAAAGGTGAAATAGGGCTTTGAAAATAAAAGAACACGTGTGCAGAAAATTGAGTGACGTTAAAAAAAACAGAGAAGAGCTTGTTTTATCTTTCAGATGACTAAATCTATTCTTGTTGGTTTCTAAATCATTTCAAGAATTCGACTCAAAAGCAATCACTCCCCAGTTTTATGGTAAATTCCTTTATTCTGATCACTGTTTTGCCCATCGAGCATTAAATAAGCGATAGATACCAGTATAGGAGGATTTCCATTACCTGTATCTCTTGCTGGAAAACTCACAAATCCATCTACTTTTTATTTCCCTCTTAATTCAAATTCGAAAAATAAAGCTATTGATATGTCAAGAGGTACGCTCTTCATGTCGTTACATTGGCGGCTCTTTCAGTCGCTTTACGAAGCTCCCCAGATGTGGATATTGTCTTGCTTCAGAGATCTTCTACTTGGCGCTTGCCGCTGAAATTAGATGCAAATCGGTTTTAATGATCAAGGTAACATATCTGTGGGACATCATGATCTTATTGGCTTAACATGTATGAGCATGTAAAAAATAACCAGCTGAGAGCACTGCTACAGTTCTCTATGCATCGATCTTGTGTTTTCTGGCGTAATTTCATACGTCTCATTTTATCACATGAAATCTAACACCGAGCATACAGTCCACTTTCTTTGACTCCCACATCCCACATATGAAACTTATAATGGAAACATACTTTATGTGATAAAAATATTATTTACCCCTAAAAAATTTAAGGCTGTGTCCCCCCCTCCCTCTTCTGAATTACTCTGCAAGCTAAGCATTACCGTAGAGAATTTCCAATATATCGCACACCAGTGATTCCACCGACCACTTAAGCGTTAAAATGATAAAACCACGTTTATGCCTACCTTAGTCATACCCATGGTAGAAATTTCTCGGCTTCTTGCTCCTGAAGACTCCTGTAAAGCCAGACTTGTAACGGGGCCTAGTGGGAGCACTGCGGGCCATGTAATAGTAGCCTTTAATCGGGGTACTAGGGAGACTGTAGTACCCAGTCGAAGTAGGACCAAAGGATGCACCGAAAGTAGGAACGAAAGATGAATCTGGAGCAAAAGAGGATCCTCCGGCCGCGATTGTGCCACCGGCGCTGCCACCGAATAAGGCCTGGGTACCCGCTACGCCGCTTTGAGCTGGACCAGCAGGCATACTTAACCCCGCTGTGGTGACACCATTGTTGTTCGAAGCGGCCGATCCGGTCAAAATAGAGAGGAGAGAGTTTGGAGATGCTGTGATTCCAGGTGCAGTTGCGGCAGGGGGGAGGCTACCAGGCACACCGGTCATTAAAGGAAAGCCAGACGCAGCAGTTCCCCCGAAATTCATCACGTTTGCTGGACCAGGAATTGGTGCAACGGGTGCCGTAGTAGCGGTAATTGGGCTAGAGCTGACTGGTCCCCCTAAACTCTGGAGGATCGCGGCTGCTTGGGCAGCTGTTAACGGTTGAATTCCACCAGCAGGTATACTAGAGATTGAACCAGTACCGGGCATAGTTGCTGCCCCTAAATTCAGAGGCACCGTGTTCATTTGACCAGACGCTGGTAGAGGTCCACCGGGGACACTAGAACTTGTTGCAGTCCCGGATGAAGCTGTTCCCACCAAAATCTGAAGAAGCGTGCTTATTTGAGCAGGAGTTAGCGCTTGAATTCCACTAGTAGGTATTGGACTTGGCCCAGGTAAAGTTGGAGTCCCGGGTGAAGCTGTTCCCCCCAAAATCTGAAGAAGCGTGCTTATTTGACTAGGAGATAACTGAATTCCACCAGTAGGTATAGTAGTGGCTGCACCCGGAACAGTTCCTCCCCCTAAATTCTGAAGCAACGCGTTAATTTGAGTTGGAGTTAACTCTCCACCATTCGGATTCGGCGGTAAAATGACTTGGGCATCTGTTGGCCACATGGGTGCATTTGTTAACAACAGAAGCATGCAGACGATGGGTCCCCGAGAAATGGAAATTGCCATTTTTCCGATTAACTCCGATTTGTTGTCGTCGCTTCTCTCTCGACTCTTGCCAGGACTAAGGTGTCAGATTCTCAGCACCTTGTTCTCTTTATATCCGCCACCAAGATCTGCCACCCTTCAAGAAGGAAATAAATCTAATGGCCCCGCCCAAAATCACTCAATCGTTTTAGTGATATTATGTATCTTGTCTCTATATCAGGAGAGAATCGTTAAAAAAGCGTAGTTACGGATAAGTGAAGTTAACAATTACCTCTTATCAAAGGTACAACGATGTCGTGTTTCTGTATCTCGAGTTTTTACTGTAACATTAAGTCACAGGTTTCCTTGAGGTCAAACTTTATCACTTTCAGAAGTCATCCATTGGCACGCCTCGTGGTTGTAAACACACTATTGGTTAAATCAGCGTCTTTTACAGCGCAAGCTGTCTTAACGGCTGCAACGGGTACGATTATCCCAGCAACGAGAATACAAAGCCCAGAGCACATTTTACAGCCAGATGAAAGTGCTACAGACATGAACAATTCAGTCAGTTATGTCTGCTATTGGTTGAAATATCAGAAGAAAGATATATTTGAAGATGTGATTCCTTGAACATACACGGCATGGGAGGTGATGACGATGATGATGTTGATGATGATGACTATGAGAGAGAGAGAGAGAGAGAGAGAGAGAGAGAGAGAGATGAGAGAGAGAGAGATTACATACTTGAAAATAAGAAAATAGACGAATCTATGACAGAAGTATACCTAATCTGATGGTATATATTTTTCAAATATTTTCCTTATAAATTTCTGGAATTTTAAACCCCAATTGGAAGTGTTTCAACAAGTTATGCATCTCAGTTCAAAATTCAGAAAATTAGATTTAGATGCTACCCATGTATTTAATAGTTACTGCCTTAATAAACACAATCGTATGTCCTTTAGGTCTCAACTTTGAACTAAACAATACATATTGGACAAGTAGTGTAGATTATTATTATTATTACCGTATATTGTAGTGTAGAATATTGTTCATCAGTAATTTTGGACGTATGTTTCTTAATTTCATAGATACCGCGACCATTACTGAGTTGCCGTCGCCGTCTTCTATAATGAACATCTTTGACACCGATATTAGGCAGCCTTACATAGACAATTTTCTCTAAAAAAAACTTCAAATTTAAGAGCATGTGCATTTTTCGTTCAATGATACCCGAGGTAATTTCCATTTCAATCGACAAAGATAAGCTACATGTATATGAACACAGTTTTTCAAAAAATTCTGTTAAAGAAATTTTTTAAATATCTTACAATTAGCTAATTCCGTGCACTGCATGATTTGTAGATTTCTACATAATTTGTAGATTCAAAAATTAAATATCCATTCTGAAAATTTCTTTCAAACTGTAGGACTTCAGAAATTCAAAATCATTAGTATTTCCAATTTAGATTCGAGTATTACTTGTCATCTTACTTACTAATTTTCTTTTTTCCAATACGATTCATGCCATAAAAGTTCCTAAATGACGGATAAATTTGGTTTTGTGTAAAGAGTCATTATCACAAGATTCCTGCAAGTGTAAAACAAGCTTGTGGTGAAACTTACATATAAACTAAAAACAAAAAGATGTTCTAACGTCAACAGCAGTTTATTGCATAGCCTTCTTTTAATCAGAACACTACTTTACGGTGCCCTACGAAACCAATGGTAATTTTTTTTGTAAAATTGTTAAGAGATACATTACCTAATTTATAATATGTAACTGTCGAAGAGGCAGAATACGTGATTCTAAAGATAAATAAATAGAGTCAACGACTTTTTTTGAGAGTATTTCTTTTTTAATGACCAAAATGAAAAATCCGACAATACATTTTACACCACAGTGAATGAATTTTTGTCATAACTCCAGATAGCGGTTATTTGAACAACTTGAACGACTTGCAAAATTTACGTAGCGGATGATAATTCCACTACCGAACCTACATTAAGAAACCTTTGGCATTAATGTAAATAAAACAAGTCATCTCAAACAAAAATTGGAAGATTTAAAACAGTAAGTCGCGTATATCTTTAACTGAAAACACGATGAAATACCGGCAATAGTGCGGAAGCACCGGTGCTGTGTATACAGGCAACAATTCACTGAGCACAATGTTTTCATCAATGTAGAACAAGGACGCATAAAACAAATTAGATACTAAATGTGTAACTATAACATCATGTGACATCAAAACCAAAAAAAAAAAATCCATATTAGTAATATGTCTCGTTTCAATGTCTTATTTCAATTTCACAGTGATCAAACTGAACTTGTCCTTAGCCGCCGTTTTGTCCGGAGGAGGGCGCTCCCAGGGTCGACAACAAATTCTGCATGCTGCTAGAAACCATTAGAGGAATACTGGACCCTAGATTCGTTCCCCCGGGCTGATTAAGACTCGGGTTGGTGAAGAATGATGACGCCGGTATGGCGCCATTCGCGGGTTGCACGTTAGCATTGCCAGCAGCGTTCCCCGGAACACCTAAGACATACACAGGGACTATTGCCTGTTGTCCAGGACCTGCAGCACCGTTGGAGGCCGAACCCAGGGAGCTCAGAACGGACAGTGGTGAAGTCGGGCTTGCTGGTGAACCCGCCGCAAGGCTAGGGTTGGTGTTGCCATAGCCTAGCAGCGACCCTTGGGGAACAGCGCTTCCTGCTCCAGTGCCAGAAGCCGCGTTCTCAATGAGGATCCCGGAACCATAGGGTTGGACTTGGTACGGCCCGCCATTTCTGAAGGGTGTGGCTGAGGGCGTTGTCCCAACGCCGTATGGACTTGGCGTATATCTGTTTCCAATACCGTATGGACTGGCCGGATATGCACCACCGTTGCTGTAATACCTAGTTCCAGCGCTGTATGGATTTCCTTGGTATGTACCGTAGAGGCTACTGGCATAAGGGCTGGCTGGGTATGCTCCAGTGTTGCTGTAGCTACCGCCAGGGCTGCCTTGATAGCCTGAACCAGCAGCGTAGGGGCTTGGCGGGTACGTGCCGTACCTACTGTACGGCATGTTGGCATAGGGCATACCGGACCCGGGGGAGGGCTCTGGTCCACCGTACTGTGCGCTGGTCATTTGACCGGGTCTGAGGTTCCTTGGGTAGCGCAGGTAGTTGACAGAAGGCCCGGCCACCATCCCTGGGGCCCCTGGTGACCCAGCGGCATACGGACTAGGTGGGTACTGCGAGTAGAAGTAACGACCCTGGGGAGGCTCGGGTTCCCGGGGATCTAGGTGATTTCCATGTGCTTCGCTGAGAGCCAATGTTACAATGAGAAAGGTGATTGAGATCATAATGTTCCTTGAAAATTTCTGTCGATCAGGATTGTCGAGAGCACACATAAAGTGAATTTTGGGGTTTCTCTGCCTTTGAGTGTTGAACGTTTGTAAACCTTGATCCCGTCGCACGGGTCTATATATAAAGCTGTGCCTACGTAAAAAGTTGCAATCATTTCCTTAATATAGTAAAAACCTGCACGCCCATCATTGCTTATCTCTGCTTTCTCACCAAAATGTGACCACATATTACCACGGTTGGAGTTAATTACTTCGTTTGGCAGAGATGTGTGATTTCAATTACTCCAAGAGGGCATCAAATGTCATCGGCAATCTTACGCACTGTTGCCGTCCAAGGCAGCAGGTACCTGTAGACAGGGAACTGGGTTTCACAGTTTACAGCAGAGAAGCTAGACAAGGCTATGACAAGGAGGGGCGTCAAATATAATTGTTTATAAATTTGTCACTTTTTATGTCTGTGTGCGTGTGCGTGTATGTGCGCACGTGCGTCTGAAGCAGAATATAACTTTTTATACAGTCTCTTAAAGCGTACGCATTCATATAGATATCACATTGCGTGAAAATGCCAGAGTATATGATTATACATTGAATACGCGTGCGTGCTCACTCCAGGCTGATACTCTCCACCACTGACCAGCTAGGTGGTGACGTCATTTCTGACATTCTGTGCAAAAATTCTGTCACAGTACACAAATGTACACAGATTTAGCCAGAAATTGTATGTGGGTATCTTGTGAGAGTCTTGTGGTCGGGTGGTTTAAAATGCTCCAAACTTCAAAGTCTTATCTCTCAAAATTTTCACTCATTACTTTCTACATACATTGTGTAGCTCCACAGTTTTGTTTTAAAGAATATGATCGCGATTGAACAATAATGTCCACGTGACATTCAATAAAAAAGAGGCGGACCATGAACGCAATGCCGGGTGTGCGCGCTTCGTCCAGACTACAACAGCTTCCTTTCTAGTTATCTTAACTTTAAAGTTTGTAATGAACAACACCAAATTTTACTGGATGTCAGTGGAAAGAGGAATGTGCAATAAACTGGTGGTGGCGTCATCATTTTTTCTTAGTTTTCATGTTAGTTTCACCTCAAACCTGTTGCACATTGATTGGAATCTCATAAAAATTACTCTTCACATAAACCTAACAAACAATATGGCCTCCATTTAGATACCTTTATGGCATGAAGAATGTGCATTTTGTCCGAAAAAAAAGAGAATTAAGAAGATGGAACGTAAGCCTAATCCTCGAATCTTAGTTGGGAACACTAATGAAATTTGAATATCTGAAGTCCTACACTTTGAAATAAGCTTTCAGATGAGGCGTGGCTTTAAGGTCCTCCATCAAAGGGCTTTGATCATGTAAGTGCCTCCAAGATGTGAGCCCCGGATATTGAATTTTTTTTTTCACAGTATTACTTGTATGCTGGGTTGTTAATCATACACTGAAAGATACCTGGTTTGGGGGACCACGGCCAAATTATATTGTAGAACAAAAGATAGAAAGTTAAAAAAGCTATGCCCAGTGTATTATCTGTATGCAGTATTTAATTTACTAGCAATTACTGGTACCCGTACCTACCACGGTAAAAACTGTTACTTCCATATTTGTATAAATCTAATACACTTACTCTGAAACTAAGACGATGCGTATAAAGATAAAGGTGACATTTATTTAACATATAACAAGCATATGCCAGTACATGTACATGATTCTTTTATGTTGTATATA